ATTATTTTGTGGGGTTGCTTCTAGGTTTATTTGTATTTATTTGTATTCTGTAGAGTCTTGACTAAGAGGCTCCCCTCTGTAAAATGGAAGGTTAAGGTGTCTTCCTCTTTGTAAACAGGAGCTAACTTAGACAAAGAAATGAAGGTAAAGAAGGAGCACAAGTGACAAAACTATTTCTGTGGTTCTGTGAAGTCCCCCTTATCCTGGCAGTACTGTAGGTAAAAGATTTAACTACTGATGGAAAGAAGGACCTCAAAAAAACCTGTTGGAAAATCACAGGAACCCTGTGTTACCCTGTGTGTCCAGGAGAATATGAAGTTGCCAGTCTGACCATGGTATGACAAGGACCTTTGCTGCTCTCTGTGGCCTGGGTAGAGGCAGGACTCAGCAGAAACAGGACTATGAGAGCAGGTTCTCTGTTAGATTCCCAATGTGTAGTTCTTCTCTTGTCAGTCTTCCTCCATTTTTAAAAGTAAAGTTTGTGGTGTCCTTCTAAGTTTTCCTCTTGTTGAGCCAACTGTTAGCTTTCCAAGAGGAAATCTGTTCCACTGAGCAGTGTCTTCAGCAAGGTGGCCTACTCAGGTCTCAAACTGGCTGGTGTACAGTGGGAGTTTGAAACGTACTATCCTGGGACTTGCCCTTAGAAATTTATCTGTGGGATTTTCACTCTCAGATTTTAATAGATACTTTGTTTCCCATACAACTCTACAAATATGCAGTGTAACTTCAGTATTTTAATATTTCAAATACAGAATTGTAGTGTCTAGACAGCACCATATGTATTTCAGTCAGGCATGGAAGTATTACTGTCATATTTTTATTTCTCTGGCAGCTGACATTCTCCTGCTTTGCCAATTCACAGAGCAATGGTTTTAAGCAAAATACTACATTGCAGTAAAGTCGTAAACTGCTTATAAATAAAAATCTCTACTATTTCTTCCTCTATTTCAGTTGCAGTTAATTTACTAGTGCCTCTTTAGCTCTCTGAAACTTTTGTGAATGAATGAGGTGGCAAAGCATAATTATAATTCAGTTATGCTAAATATTTTTTTTGAAGCCTGACCACTGGAATGCAGAGCTGTATGGTCTTACCCCTATCCAAAAATATTTCTGCAATAGAATACTTGTTTCTGTCTCAGTGAAGCCAGAAACTGAAACTGAAAACTGAAGAGTAAATGGCAGAAATAAATGATGCCTTGTCATGTCCTGAAAAAGGCTAATGAAACCTTGCAGCTGCCAAGTCTGACTGAAACCAGTGGCCTGTGAATAGTGATGTTCGAGGGGAAAAGTCAAAGATAATCCAGATGTTCCCAAGCAGAACTCTTTGGAATGCTTCGTTCATTTTCTTTTCTGTCTGTCTGAACTAAAAAATTATATAACTGAGATTTGTTTTAATGCATTTTCTGAAGGTTATTATTTGACCTTCAAAGTAATTTAATGTGCTTAGCACGTTATTTCTGTCTGCACTCATTACTTTAAAGGTGACTTGTAATTTATATCAGATATATGCAATTTTGGAACTTGGGATTGTTCATGTGAAGGATGTTTCTTAGGTTTCTTTTGACAGCCTCTTTGGGTTCTTCCTGAAGCACTTTTCGCAGCATATAAAGGGAATCTTGAAAATCAGAAGGAGATTTGTGTGTAATTCTGGAACTGACTACCTTTTCCCAGACTTGTGAATAAATCTCAATTTAAGTGCATTTTAAAGAGATGGTTGATATTTTGTTCATTTTTGGATTTGCATTTGTTTTGCAGCTGAGTCCATATCTAATTGTCAATCTGCTAAGTTAACTACTTACTGGCAGCAAAATAGATAAAGAATCATGTATAAAATCACAAGGAAGAGGGGAAAAACATCTATTTATGTTTGGCAAGACATATAACCATCGCTCTCTTCTGAAAAAATAAAACTGGTATTCATTTTGTATTTTACTAGGTAAGGACCCTGTATTACAAAAAAAGCTTAAAAAGCTGATTGATGTCCTTGACCCTTTCAAGTAATTAGGATCCTACAGTCTCTTAGATCCATTTTTCTGTTTAACTATTGACTCAATATGAATTTTTCATATACTGTTGAATTCAGTCCAGGTTCTGTAACTGTATTCATGCCTTGTAGGGTTGGATAGGCGTGGGAATGCTTTGCTTATAGATCTGGTGAAGAAGTCTTAAGACAGATTGCTGCCCAGTATGATCAAGACTTGCACAATTCTAGGCATTTTGAGGAAAGGATGTTCAATTGCCTTTGGAGTCCCCTAGATGAACTCAGTGAGCAGACAATTGCTTTAGACCTGGATCTATTTTGCCTAGATCCCATGCTTCTGGCATTGCTTCCAATTTTGTTGTAGATCCTTTGTTCTTTCTGATCTTTTGGTCTCTTGAGCCAATGTGCTACTGTGGTTCCCAACCATGGAAGTTTCATGCAGCAACATTCAGACTGTTGACAGCTTTCCACTGACCTAAAAAGCAATTTCAAAGGCTTGCCTCCATATACACAGAGGATTTTGTGCTGGTTCTCAACACCTGAAGCATCTAAACTCTACAGTTTCTGTCAACCTTACAGGGCTGCATACAGTACCATACTTCCTACTGAGTGGACTTTAGTAAAATGTATTACTGGAAGTCAGTCAAACTTGAGCAGCCTTTAGTAGGAGAGAGATGCATGAGAAAGTGTTTGGGGCCTACATTTTTCATTCAGATTAGTGGAAACCTCTTACTGATTTGAATAGGCCACAAATTGAGTGCATTAGTAAATCCTCTGAGCACTGTAAAGAATTGTCTGGCTGTTTGCGGGGGATTATCCAACAGTTGGGGTGCTCTGGAGTGGCAGGACTTTAAACTTGTATGAGAATTTATTAGGTATTAATTAATGTAAATTATTGATGTATTTTAATAGAAATTATTTGGTTTATGTAAACTTATATAACTCATTATTAGGCATGGCTGACTATTTTTCTATAGCTGTTTCACTTAGTTTTTTGAAATATGCATGAATGCTTTATGTATAAACCTAGGCGACTGTCAACAGAAATATTGTGTCTTCAGTCTGCTAGAAAATAATTCACAACGTGTGTATGAGGCTGTGATTGCCAGAGCCTGTTCGTGGTGACAGGTGTTAGATGTTCATCTGCTAATTTCTCATTAGAAACAATGTGGTAGACTGATGATGCAGTTTGGTTATTGGAAGCCTTGTCTTGATTTCTGTTTAGAAAATATATGGCTATGTTTACTGAAATATTTTTTAAAATAGTAAATGCATTTTCAATTTTTAAAAATATGTCATAGAAGTATTTTAAGATTAAAAGACTTATTTTCTCCTTGCCAACACATATCTATTATCAGTGATCTGTAATTAGGCTCACAGCTTAACATAAAGGACAAATGGTGCTCACTGAGCTGCATCATTTGCCTTATTGTGGTAAAATGACCGATTTTGATTTACCAGCTGTGACTTTGGAGGCAGGCTGAATGACAGGGAACACATAATGCTCGACGGCTTACGATATTTCCAGCACATGACTATGTGTGTATCATTCAGGATTCAGCAGCAGTTCTTGCTTGATAAGCTTGCTAATGTCTTCATGTTTTAAGGAATATTGTGCTTCTGTAAGGGGTCTTTTTGTACAGGCTCAGTCTAGCAGTCCTTGCTGAAGCAAAGCTGCCAGTGAAAAGCAGCATCAGTATGATCATGGAAAGCACTGAATAGAAGGGTAGAAGAACTCCTCACAAGCAGTGCATGTGCCTTAGGAAATAGAGCATGTAGTTCTGTGACTAATTATGAATTATAGAAAAAACTAAAGGAAGAAAGACACCAAGCTGGGAAATAAATGGTTGATTACTCATTTTGCATCAAAAAAGGACATTTTCAAAAAGCAAGCCCAGTTATACTCTCTTTTTGCAATAATATTCATATCCACTTCTCACAATTTCTGCTACTTATAGTAGAAAATAAGACTGTATTGTTCTTTGGCTTCTTATGTATGTGGCAAAGAAGGTTGAAAGATTGCATGCAAAGCATTCTGATTTTATATGAAAAGGGTAGAATAAGCTATGTCAGTAAGTTACAAAGAGGTAGCTTTTTGGGTTTTCCATTAATATGTTCTGAATACTGCAGAAATAGCCATATGTTGGTGAAATGCAGTGATGTTGGCTGATGCAAGTGTACAAAAGTCATAGAACTCCATGTGTTGGATTAAATATATAGTCTGGAATCACAAATGGCCCTAGTTTGTTCTTTGAACTGAAGAGGTGAGAAAGGTATTGTTTATCTGTGGTTTAGTATCTGATAATGTATGTATGTTGTACTTTTTTTTAGAAGTGTTTTGTTTGGATTTTTTATGTCATTTTAAAACAGAGCTACTCTTTGAATGAATATGCATGAAAAATCAAGTCTACAAAGCAGATCACTAATTTACATTGTTTATGCTGTTTGCCTTTTTGTTTTGTGAGAAACAAATGCTATCTGCTAAATGTAATTTTAAAATTAACATCTATTTTTAAAAGTTTTAGAGTTTACATTCTAACCCAAATTTAATACAGATTGAAGTCCAGACTGAAAATCCTACAGTTCATTGACAGTTCAGTAGTTCTTATGATGAAGATACCCAGACTTTCAAAAGTTTTGGTCACAGTCAGTGATCTGGTGCAAAGGGCTAAAGTGGTGTGATGACTAAGATAATATTTGAGTTTCACTTTAGCCTTCCTGAGTTAGGCTGAATTGAAAGAGCAATGTTGGGAAGAGCTCTGTGAGCTATACTGACTACCAGCTTCAAAGATATTGACATAAGTGGAGAAGGACTTGAAAAGAGGAGAACTGCCAGTGAATAAGCAGCAGCAAGAAAAACCCAACAAGCATCTGAAGGGGGGACATAGATAATTTAAACATTAATTTCTTGATCATACTTTTCTCCCTGGTGGAACCACTATCAGCTTTGTTGACTATCTGTGAGATAATTCCAGTAAACATTAACATTTTAAACTCTCAAACTTTGTATTTTTTTCAGAAATCCTCCTCCTACTTTGCTACATCCTGAAAAATGGTGCAGAGGATTCAACCATTTCATTTCACAGTGAGTTTTATTTTCTTTTAAAAACAGTTTATTCAAGCAAGGCCTACATGTGTCAATCTGAAAACAGAATTTGCTTTATGGAGTTGTTGCTTTTGCAGGTTTTAAACTTCAGTTTTCTTTTCACAGGCTTTAGACCATGCTTAACTTTTTGAAAGCACAGTTGGATCTTCTCATGTAATATGCTTCTCAGATTCTCTGAACTCCTTAGTTGATTTGTTTCTTGACTTTGACCTGGGATAATTTTATAAATATACCTGGTTGCCCTGGTGGCCTGTATTCTGGGGGGAATCTAGCACTTGTGTGTTATATTCCATATGTGCTTGGAGATTCAGTGCACCTGGTAAAGAAGATTGCATTCCTTTCTGAGAAGCATTGTGCATTAACCTCTAGCATTGTTATATAGTTGGGTTTTTTTTCTTGATGTCTTCCCTTTTAGATATCCCTGCTGAGCTTGAGTACAAGACAAAAAACGAAGTTTAACATTTCTTAACCGTTGTTTAGTCCTTTAGTTAAGTGTGCACTGTTCATAAAAGAAGTCAGACATTAGTACTTTATGGCTATGCTTGTTTTTAATCTTGTCCTTTGGGTTTTTGATATCTTCAAATTATATCTTTGTAATCACATTGATTTTGCTTAATTACTTCCTCTCATCAGCAACATCTGCAGTTTCTCAAATCTTGCTTTACATTTTTACAGTAACATGCACAATAAAGTACACAAGTATGTTCCTGTGCAGTCTCTTTAACATGCAGTAATGCAACAATTGTAATAAATAAGCTGGTTTTATAGATACCTCTAAGAGAGCATTGAAATTGAATTTTTTGTGACACTGCTTCATTCTTGATCATGTTTTAGTAAATGTGTTATGATGCAGAGATTACTAGATTTTTTTTTTGGATGCTTGGATTTGCATTAGTGGATTTTCTAGAAAAAATAAAATAATGAAATATTGGATCATACAACTGCAAAACCTTTTAGTCATTACTGATAATTGGCTCATTTATATGCATTAGTTATGCATTTGTTGATGCCCACCTTGTGACAGCTTAGTTATGATAAATTAAAAGCAGTGACTGTTTAAGTTCTGTGCTGCCTTTTATTCATATGGTAGGACCTTGCCTGATGTTTCAGTCACCCTTGTGATGAGTGGTTGGCTTTTGAATAATTTCATTATCTACCTCCATCCTGATGGCTAGTGCCATTTGCATAACAAGCTTATCTGGTTCAAGTTGTGGGCCAGACCTGTGTACTGACGAAAACCAAGCAGGCAGCTGGGGGCTAAGCATACTTTTGACTTCAGTTCTGTTTACACGATAATTTTATTTATGCTAAGATTGCCAAACCTGGTCATAGTAGCTTTTTTCACCTCCCATTCTCATCCCTGGAAATGCCACTGCCTCAAAGAGGTGCTTCTATTGCAAGTGTTCACTCACACAATACAGTGATTTACAACATGCCTGAACTGGAAGCTTCAATGTACTTTTGTAGGTTAAAATAGTAATAATATATTTTCCAGAAATTAAGTCAGTATTTTTAACTATGAGTATTCTGCCCCAAGAGAGGTGATTTTGCAGCAGCATTTTCAAGTCAGATGCATAATTTACAAAATTAAAATGAAGAGAGGGTTAAGATAGTTCTTAGCTTGGCGAATTTGTTTTGTGTCCAGCGTTGTGGACCTTGACTTGAGATAAAGACTGTAATATGTTGTCCTCAGAAGGATCTTTACAATGACATTACTAATCTGAGTTGGATATTTTGTTTTAAAAAATAGACAAGAAGCACTTTCAGCCAGGCCATCTCTGACAGCAGCCTGATTTTGTATTTGGTATCTACTGGGATATACCAAGTACATATATACTTTTAAAAGGCCAGTAATATTCTATGTATGTTTGTTAATCTGTACTTCTGTGATTATCCATGAAGAACTTGGCTGCTCCACTCAAAATGTGAGAAAGTATTACTTATCTGTTTATTTTTATTTGCATATTAATAGGGCTTACCATTCCTATAAGGGCATGTATACAATCATATAATTAGTTGGAGGATTAGCTCCTGAAAACAATATACTTTTATCTATGTTTATTTCTATTTTGAAATAAAAAAGCAGTTTTGAAGGCTTCACCCTTCATTCATTAAATCTATGAGTATTTATGAAGCTTTTTTGCGGGGGGAAGGGGATAGCTGCAGTGTAGACGACATTGCTCTTTTAAGAGTTGTGTCCACCACCATTTTAAACATACAGTGCTTTACAATTCGGTCGTAAAATAATAGAGGCTATATGTTAAAATGAATAAACCCCCACATTTGTTACAATTATCTCATAATGCTGCAAATAAAAGGATAGATAGAAGAGTTAATATGTTCTTGGAGCAGAGGGGTACAATAACCTTTATTTGCATTACATCACTAAATGGTAATTTTAATTAAAATGAGCAATGGCATCTTCAGGGACAGACATTCTCCTTTTAAACTTATTTAACCAATAGTTAGCTATTATGGTTCTTTGAATTAATTAGTAATTCTTGAGCTGGAGGGAATGAAAGAATTATGAATTTCAAGACGTACTAAAGTAAAAATGTGAAGTTACAGGATTTATGGTCACATTTATCATCAGAGTGTGGCTTTTTTTAGCAATAACATTGCAACTACAATACAAAAATTATTTTTAGTCTTGATAAATTATTTTTGGACTCCATTTAAACAGCCTCATGAGCTGAATTTCATATTGATGAATCTGCATTCAGAGTTATTAAATTAATAACTCATCTAGATTACATAGGTGTTAAGTGCTCCATTTACATGTAAGTTATTTGAATGCAGATCAGATTTTTTCACAATCTAAGCAATTGTTTAGTGATACTCTGTTACATAAAGAACATTTTACTGTTTCTGTTGCTGAGATCATGATATGCATTTGACATAACTCATTAATTATACAGTGTCTAATACATAGAGATTTGCAAGTGTCAGAATGATACAAACTGTGATGTGTAAGATTACCACCAAATCCATAATTTTTCACTTTTTATTCATTGATGTAGACTGAGAATCTGCCTACAGATGAAGTTAAAATCCTAAATTGTAGTATGTGACAAGCATCTCCACCACTTTTGAGCATTGCATGAGACTTTTTAATACAGATGAGTGGGCTTATATAATGGATACAATTATCTTGAGCTTTCTAGTGAGCAATTGTAGTAAAAATCTGCAATTTTAAGTAGAAATGAGAAGGAAGGAAATCTATGCTGATCTTGTAGTTGTTTGTTTTATGGTTGGATTTATTCCTTCCAGTTAAATTATTCTACTTCTTAAAGAAAGGAGGTGTTGTAGACAATCCACGTTTGTTTGGAATGCATTTAGGATGGTACGAAAGCCAGAAGTATGGAAATAGGCAAAGCAGTAAAACTTGGAGTTGCAAGAGACAAGACTTCAGTTTCTTTTTTTACAGCTGAAGAAACTGAGAGAAAGGGCATCTTGCTCAAAGTCACAAGAATCCACAGGAGAGCTGGGAATGAAGCAGTCCAGCATATTTTCAGATTAAGGGAAGCTCCAGGAAACAGAGATGCTCCTATTCTCCTCTTGTAAACTGTGGGGTACAGGTCAGGTCTGGCACATGGTAATGGGATTTCCAGTTGCCTTTTTAGTGGCTGTCCTTATTTACTTCAAGATAGGAGGGATGCACTAAACAACAAAGGAGAGAAAAATATCTTTCCTTAGCTGTTTTCCCAGCTATAACATAAGATGTTAAAGAAATAAGCTGTCAGTATTAGATTGTGGTTTCCTTATCTTCTACTTTCTCTGTGCTCCAACTGCCTCAAATCAGCTGCATGCTGGAGTGTCAAAAGGGGATGGACACCTTACTTTTGGTACAAATGCAAAACATACTGTTGCTTGCCAAAAGCCTCAGCTGTAAAAAGTTCTGAAGGGTTTTTGTGTTCCTGGGTCTTCAATGACAGGTCAAAGAAATAGAGCAGACCCATTCCTGGTAAAAGGAACCCCCGCAGTTTAATCATACAATAAATAATATATTTGGTGGTTTTGAGATGCTCCCTAGATTTGTTCTAACTGAATTTCTGTTCTCTGGTAAAATTCTAAGGGTTTTCAACATGAGCAAAGTCTGACCCATTCTAAGAGCTACAAGGGATGCCACTCCATAGAGTTTCTATTGTTTGTTCTCTAAACCATGTATATGAGCAAGATTAAATTGTTGTGTCTACTCAGCCACAGGAGGCTGGGAAATTGTAATTTTTGAAGCTTTAGAAGAGGTAGAACTATTTACTACATCTTTTTACAATTTCAGTGTGAATGAACCTTGGCTAGGTTTCAGATGTGTGCTCTAAACTACACTATATGGCACTATATATTAACAATTAAACTGAAAGGAGATTTATTAAGAAAACAGGTGCTGGTGACATTTCAGTGTTCAACTATTTATGTCATTGCTAGGGAAGAGTAGTAATTTACTGTGTTTGCTACCAAAAGGCAGATCAATAAAGATATAAATGTGTTCTGACCATCAGAATTTATATTATGCACATGATGATTGGATACTTCCTCATAAATTCAGTCTTTCATCCTGATATCTGATTGTAGCAAAAGGTAAAATGCTTGTTATTTATCATGGGATGTGGGTTTCAGACAGGAGACCTATTTAACCTAGATACATACCCATAGTGCTCAGCATTTGCTTTTTCCAAAGGGACAACTATATATAGTTCTGAAGATAAGATTATTTGTATCCTGTACGTCCTGTTGAATTAGGACTGAGAACAGAAATGCTGTTGGCAAAGCTGTCACAGTTTTTTAGCTCATTTTTGAAGCTGAGTGGCCTGCAGCAGTGGAGGATGGGCAGGTCTGGGAATGGGAAGCAGGCATATCCCTGCATCATTATTAGAAGCATAATTCAGAGTCACAGAGTTGTTGGGACTGGAAGGGACCTCTGAAGATCATCTAGTCCAACCCTCCTGCTAGAAAAGCAGGATCACCTACAGCAGATCACA